GAGAAAAACCATGCGGCAAAACCGTGTCAGGGTTGCAATTTAGGCTCCGCCCCTGACTCCGCCCACTTTTCTCCGAAGTTTTTTTTTCTCCGGAATTTGCGGGGTCTCGTGAAAAATTGCAAAATTTCGCAAACGCGCTCTGATAGATTTTCCATAATTTTGAATTTTTTCAGTGAATCTGTAAAAAATTTTGCTTATCAGCAAAAAAAATTACGAAATAAAGCACTTGAAACTGTATCATAGTCGTTAGAAAATGTTAAATTTGAGAAACTACAAAAAAATCATCAAAGGGATTTGATCACACGAATTGCCGCGGAAAAAAACAAATTATTCAGCTTTGACTAATAAAAAATCGGATTTTTTGTGGTAAAAATTCACTTTTTGATATTTTCGGTGTGCTGAATAATGAAATTTTCGCTTTGACCTAAATTCTAGTTTTTCTAATCCAAGTTCAAAAAGTCTGCTTCCAATTTTTCTTTCTAAATACAAAAAAAAACTTTTGCGAAATAAAAAGAAAATGAGAGAAAGAGCACAAGAAACAGAGAAAAAGTGGAAGGAGACACCCAACGAGACAGAGACATAGAAGGGAGGAGCGACCGGGGTCTTCTCGTCTTCTTCGCAACAATTTATTGAGTTTGGAGCGCACTAAAAAGGAGCGCGGAGACATAGAATAGGAAGAAAACCCATTCCAATCCACACCATTTTCTCTTGGTCTTTTGGAAAAGACCAAGAGGGAAGAACCAGAACGTTCCAGTCCAGTGAACACAACACCGCTTCTTCTTCTTCTGGGGCAAAAGGGTTTCCTCAAAAAGTTCTAGAAATATATATAGTAAAACTATTTGAGCGGCATTTCCATAAATTTCCGACTGTGTAGCAACGAGTATTAAAAATGTATAAATGCCACACATACACTCTTTTCGGTGCCGGCCGTTTTTTGGCCGAACGGGGTCTCCGGTAAGGCTCCGCGTCGAGCACTGAAAAATAGGGAGAAAACGATATTTGCTCTCAAACGGAATATATAGAGAAAAGAGCAAAGGCTCTTCTCTCTCTCCACAGGAGTAGAAAAAACGAGAGATTTGATAATTGACGCGGGAAAACACAAAGTGTTGCAGCACACACACTCGGGAGCACTTTCTCCTGTCTCTTGCAGGTGGGCCGAACGTGCAAACTTGAACCGAGCGCAAATTTATATCAGCAGGAGAAAAAAAGAGAGCTCTGGTAGTTGACAGTTTAACTTGTCAAGTGGTTTTAGGGCTATTTGCAGGTACAAGATGAGGGGAAATCGAAAAACGAAACTTCTGAAATTTGTTCGCGTTTCAAATTATGCAGAGAAATGGAATAAAACCGCTCAATTGAAAGCTTTCGCTTCGAGACCAAAGCTAATTTTACTGTAGTCTTACGGTTATTCGCGTACCACCAAAAGCTGGAATTTCGACAATTTTTCCAGAAATTCGAATATTTTTCAGTAAAAAAAATAATTTGAATCTGAATGTTTTGTTTTCAGCTTTGTTGAAACTGATGAAACCTCAGAAGTTTGTAATTTCAATATAATCATACATTTTCTTTGCAAGGCAAACAACTTTAGAAGTCATTTTACAGTAACTACTCATAGGAGTTAATTCTATCGTAACGGAAAAAAGGGCTACAAGAAAAACCTTC